TACTATCTTAAACGAAATAGGGTTAGTACACTTCATAAAACAGAGTATTTACTCTAGACCAAACCGTTTCTCAGTACTTTAACAGTTAAGTTAATATGTAGCTTGTAAGGATAGCCGAAATAAAAGTAAGCATAAATTTGAATGAAAAAATGAAAAGCCCAAAATCAACATCCTGGAGCCCCATCCTAGAGGTTTCATTACCCATTGCTGCCTCATGACCATCCCCAGTCCGTCTACCGAGACGAGAGCTCGAACGCAAGGAGGCTTTGGACTTGAAAACACCATAATTGTTCATAGGACTCGGTATAGTCCCTATTGGAAAAGAGGCACCAGCCATGGAGTTGAAGGCAACTGCTTCGTCGGCTTCGACGCCGCCAATTCTTGATGTCAGTGAAATGTCAGCCCCGACTCCAGCAACCCCATTAGTCGAACGAGTGGAACCTGCCGATTGGGCAATCGACTGTACGGCCAGCAAGCTGGCTTTGCTGGCGAACGCCGTTGACCGAAGCACAATAGAAGGCAGCACCTCAGCTCGGGACAACGCAAATAAGGCTCGATCAAACTGGCGCTGAAAGGCTTCGCTGTTGCGATTTTGACCGTTCAAGTCGGTCACTGATATGTTAATGTATAGGCAAAGTAAATAGCATAAAAATGTGATGATCTAAGAGAACATGTCGTGCTTGCTCTACAAATAGTTGAAGGACAATAAAATTTTGGAGTAAGGGATTCAAAATAAACCTATTAAAATGAATAAAGGCAAATCAGCACAATGTAAATGTAATAAATGTTGAAGAAGTGGTTTGTATAAAAAGCACTGCGATTGATCGCATGTTGACTACGATTAAATCAGAAAATATTAAATGAGATAATTACTGAATAATTGGAGAATATTAGAAATATTTAGTCAAAACCTCAATAGCCCCTAGAAAATCGTGCTTTGTGATTTGTCATTAAATACTAAATTTTATAAGGCAGAATGAGACATCCATATTTAAAATATTAGATAAGGTTCCTGTGATAGCTCACTCTTCTTCTTCTTAGATGTTATGGCCCTATTCTGGTTACAATCTCTTTTCGATATATATATATATATATATA